TATGCCAACAAGATATTTACTGTGTGTGTTATTTTTAGATCATTAATATTGTTCAAATATGTTGATGGTATTGATATTTGGATGTGTTCACATGTATTGTATGTGATTATTTTTATACAAATTAGTTATGTAATATTTGGGTGAGGTCATGAAGAGATAGGGGGGGAGGGGTCATCAATAAGACAGTGATAACTCTACTTTTCCTTTTGTTCTGGATTAGGTGATGAAGCGGACGTTCTGAACAGGTTCCAGAGGTAGTAAAGGGCTAGATGATGGCTAATTAATTGAAGCTCAATCCCGATAAGACTTAGGTTTTGGATTGGTTCTTATGAAGCGCAAGCAGAAAGCACTCATGACACAAACCTTGCCCTCCTTCCCCTAGCACCCCTTGATGACTCCTCAAAAGCTCATAGATTTATTTATTATTGAGTCTGTAAGGACTCAAGGGTGATTTACAGAGGCTAACTTCATTACACAATTAAAAAATCACACATCAATCCACAATCTCGTATAACATCCCTAAACGTTAGAAACACTGTAAGACAACAAATACTCAACAAACAATATCAAACAACAAACCAGGCTTCCATTCAGCTAGCCAACTAACTCAAAACAATTTGTATTGCTTACCACCCTCAAAAGCTCACCTAGATTTCCTGCTTTACAAGTTTCTATGAATGTCAGGAGGATCTGTGTTTGTCTTAACATACACGGGCAAAATGTTGTACAAAGTTGAGATAGAGACCAGAAAAGCCTGAGATTGGGTGAGGGCCAACCTAACAACTGCACTGACAAGTAGTAAACAATAAGATTACGCTGCAATGATTGAAGGGGTTACATGGGTTCATCTGAGGGGAAACACTGCTTCTAATATGTGGGCTCGTAAAATGCCATGGGGGGGCTCTTTCGAGAAATCAGATGAAATGCCACCTTCCTCTTCTACTTGTAGAATGCCCATTCATTTATGATTACAGATATTACTTGATCTGAATTCCACTGGTCTTTAATGGCAGTTTAATTCAAAGACATGTAGGAAGCAAAACTTTTGGAAACCCCACAGCACAAATGCCATGGGTTCAAAGAATTATCCCCTGACACTACCTTACATCTTTTTGTGGCTATCAGATTATTTTAGAACTTGTGAAATCTGTAATGCTCTTTCAAATACAGGGGTGGAAAACGGTCAGTAAAATCCGTAAAAGTCAGTTTTTTCATCTTGGTCATTCATTTTTAAAAAATTGGTCAGTAAAGTCAGTGTTTCTTTGATTTTTGTGAAAGCAGTTTGTGTTTTTCTTGTTTTTGTTACTGCATTTTGGGGGAAACATGATGACTTCCCAGTGAGAAGACAAATTGTTTTCAGTTCAGTTATGAAGTACTTTAAGGACTTTGTTCCTATGAGTAAAAGTGATTTGGTGAAATCTTCCACAAAGTATAAAAACATAATTAACCTCTTAAAACATGAGACAATGAAAGCAGAGGTGATGTTGCACGAGTGCCCACTTATTTACAAAGTTCAGTGGAGTGTTCCAAAAAGAAGAGCTTTTGCTGCATGTGATGCATAGTGAAGTAAAAACACAAGAACCATAATGAATCATGTTCGTAAGAGTTCAGCACCATTGTCTCTTGAAGCCTTCATTGATGAGCACTGCATACCTGTGAGAGAAGTAATCAGTGAAGGTAGAATCTGTGACGAACTGAAAAAACTTTCTGAAAAGGAACAGCTACTCTTTTTAATGGGAGCAACCCCCCCCCCATTTCATAGCAGCCTGGAAACACCTTTTACTCCAGTCATCCTTGGACTGGATATCCTCAGATATCTTCAATATTTAGCTCCAGCACAGAGAGTCAAGGAAGGAACCCACAAGGAGATAATGAAAGTAGCAGCAGCACTCCCAGTGCATATTCCACTGGACATGATTGGGGATGGATGGAAACTCCTTAGACTTGAAGATGGAACTGCCAGTGAAACTTGCCACATAGATACGCACTGGAATCAGTTCTTTGAAAAGATGAAACCATCTGGAGATCCAAAATACCCACTGGTTACCAAGGTGGTGAAAGCAGCATAATCATTATCGCATGGTAGTGCAGGGTTTTCAAAATCTGGATGTATTTTGACTGACGAAAGGACCAGCATGTCAGAGGGAACTTTTAATGCCCACCTGATGGTCAAAGAAACTTTATATCATGTATAAGAAAACAAGGTATACCATGTTAATATCACACAAGAGCTTTTACAGATGGCAAAAACAGCTCATGTTCATTACAAGCAGGATTGTGATGAACAGCATGTCATTAAAGAGAAGGAGCGAAAAGAAAAGAAAACAAAGGAAAAGGCAGAGGAGTTAGAAAGGTTTAAGAAGATAGACAGTGAAAAGGATAGTATACAAGAGAAGGAAACAAAACTGAAAAAGCTGAGACAAGAACAGAATGAGAAGATGATTGCTTGAACGTTGCCAAGTGATGCAACCAAACGTGTAAAGGAGGCTGCTGAGAAAAAGGATATTGTGGGATTCAACATGGTACAGCTCATGCTAGAAGAAGTGGAGAAAGCAATGGAAGAAGAGGGCAAGAAAAAATGCTTGTGGATGCAGTGTAGAAAACTGTTGAGAAATGAAAGAGTTCAATAACTTCTTTTTTCAGCAAAAAACCCCAAAGATAAAATAAAAACAAAGACAAGTCTTACCTTACAGTAATTAATGTTTTGTTGTCATAATTATTACTTTATGGTTTTTAAAATGTTTTGCTGTTTTATTATCTGCAGTATGTGAGTATTTTTAGAAGGGAATCTTTTTTTTGCCTTAAATTTTGTACAGTAATGAAAACATTGTCCTATCTTCATTTTAAAAATTCAGTAAAAAGGAGTGTGATCATTGACTATAGAGATGGTGGATGTCAGAGAACAGTAATTTTTAATGAAGTCCTGGTTTTACTTTTAAAATGCTAATTTATCAATAGGATGAGATTAAATTGTTCAGTAATTTGTCAGTTTTTTGTTAGTACTTGGTCAGATTTTTTTCGTCAATAAAATTGTATTTTTGACCCTCTGACTACTTTCCACCCCGAAATAGAAAAACATTGAATTTCAGTTTTGTGTGTTAGCATCCCAAGAGAAAGTAGTGCTTATACCATTTGCAGTACAACAGTGTCAAAAACATTTAGAATGCTTCCTTAGAACCCCCCCTTAATACGTGGGGTTCTTCAGGGGGCAGTCCTCTCTCTGATGTTATTCAACATCTATATGTGCCCCCTTGTCCAACTGGTGCGGAGTTTTGGACTAGGGTGTCATCAGTATATCTGCAGCTATATCTGCTACTGGATGGCCACCCGGATACCTCCCCAAATAATCTGGCCAAGGGTCTGGAGGCCGTAGTGGGATGATTAAAAAGGAATAGGTTGAGGTTGAATCTGATAAAGACAGAGGTTTTGTGGCTGGGGAAGGGCTGCATCAGGGCTGGTGCATAGACTTCCCACCCTTGACGGGGCTCCACTAACACTGGCACAATCCATCAAGAGTTTGGCCATGATCCCGGATGCCTTCTTAACTATGGAGGCCCAGGTCGCGAATATTGCCAGGGTGGTGTTTTTCCATCTATGCCAAGCATGGCAATTGGCCTGTTTCCTGTCACACCCTGACCTAGCTATTGTAATCCATGCAACAGTCACCTCCAGATTAGACTACTGTAACTTGCTGTATGCTGGCCTTCCCTTGAGACTGACCCAGAAACTCCAGCTGATCCAGAATGTGGTAGTGTGAGTTCTGATGGGAACACCATGGATAGCACATATACATCCTGTGCTGCACCTGCTACACTGGCTTCCAGTGGAATACCGAATCAGATTCAAGGTGCTGGTATTGACTTTTAAGGCCTTGAGCTGTCTGGGACCTGCATATCTTTGGGACCGTCTCCTCTGGTATGTCCTTGAGAGAGTGTTACGCTCTGCTGAGAGCAATCTGCTGGTGATCCCTGGTCCCAAAGATATCTGGCTTTCCTCAACCAGAGCCAGGACTTTCTTGGCCCTGGCTCCGACCTGGTGGGACTTTCTGCCAACTTCCATCAGGGCCCTGCAGGACTTAATACAGTTCCTAAGAGCCTATAAGGCAGAGATGTTCTACCAGGCTTTTGGTTGAGGAAGGCAATGGTTTTCCATCATAACTGGCACCCTCCTTTCTTCCATTCTGCCCACTTTGGCCTCCTCTTTAACCTGCCCACAAGATAGAAGAACAGTCCAGAGTAGGTTTTAGATTAAATTATGGACACCATTTGGAGACTGTTAATTTCAGAATAACTGATCTGCTGTTTTTAAACTGTATTTTTGTATGTTTGTAACCTGTTGTAAATCTCCCAATGCCCTCTGTACTCAGGGATTGGGTGATTCAGTAGTAGTAGTAGTAGTAGTAGATGATTTCTTTTTTTCCAGTGTAGTTATTTTTCTCCTCTCCATTCTTTTTTTGTCCAACTCCCCCTTGTGATTCTTTTTGTTACCTGTTTTGAATGAGTGGAAGTCTGAGTTGTCCTGTGTTGACAAAATATAAATGTCAGTTTTGTTTTGTTGCAGTTATAATTGGAATTGTTAAAAAAGCAAGAATATTTAAATGAAATATATTCCTAGCACATTTAAATAATTATGGTGCTAAACTTTCTTCCGCTATATAGGTTAGTGTCTTTTAAATTTTGAATGTTACCTCCTTTACTTTTCTGACTGTGGTTGGCAGGAAGCATACATTTCTTACATATTATCGTAGAATATCTGTCATCCTAGCGATTTATACTTGATTGAATCTGATGTGTTGTTGATATGAAGTACTGGTCTGTTGACAAATAATAGTAAGAATAGCTTATTCTCAATTTATTTTTAAGGTGAACAGTATATATACCATGAAAACTGCATGGCATTCAGCAAGATATGCTTGTTCTCATGTAGTGTATGATTGCACTAGTTTCAGACCAAACTACTACAAAGTCTTGTGTTTTCATGTCCTCTCTTCCTACTTGCAGGGGGGACACAAAGACTACCTCGTACAATTGGAGTGTCCCTAGCCAAAGAACTAATCTTTTCTGCTCGTGTTGTTGATGGTAATGAAGCAAAATCAATAGGCTTGATCAGTCATGTGGTTGAACAGAACGAAGGAGGGGATGCTGCCTACAGAAGGGCTTTAACCCTTGCAAGAGAATTTTTACCTCAGGTAAAGTCAAGAGCGTCATATAATGTGTAACTTCATTGCAGAAGAAATCAAATATCAAGTAATGATTAACAAATTGAAAAAGATAAAACAAATAGAATAAAATATGTTAAAACAGTTCTAGTCAAATAGAAATCAAACTCCATATGTGTAGGCTACATAGTAGTGCTAGCTGGTGCTAGGGTTATTAGAGGTGTGTTTTCTTTTGCCACTATTCTATCTACATTTTGAATCATATTTTTGTTTGCTTAACGGTCACAATGTATGATTAAAGCTAAATCTTTGAGCCTTCTATTACAGTTTCCATGCTTAAACTCAGTTGTTTTTATGAGGCTTCCATTAAAGCAGGGCGTGCCTTTAATTCTCACCTTGGTGAATTTTCTTATTTCTTTGTCTCTAGACTTCCCCGTTCAGTTTTCCATACTAAAATCTACAGATTCTCTGCATGAACAAAAGTATTGAACAGGCACTTTGTAGTTGGAGGCACAAATTCTAAACACAAGCAAATTCCATTCACTTTAATGGGATTTGTATGCATGTAAATGTGTTTAGGTATGTAGTTTTACTTTTTAAAAAAATGCCTTATGCATTGTTTTGTTTCTGCTACACTGTCCATTTGTTTACTGTTTGATATTGGTGTACTAGCATAATATCATTATGATATTTGATTCCCTTGAATACTCAGTTAACATTAAAAGGTGTAAATGTAAGACAAGATTTAGAAGCATTTAACTTCCAAAAATTAAAGAAATGCAAAACCAAGTAATGCTGTCCACTGTAGTAGCTGTACTGTTTGTTTGTTACCTCTTGCTGGTGGTTTCACAGCAGACCTCACTGATGTATCAAATCATGATAATTATTATTTGTGTTACCCATTTTTCCCAAGCCAATGAATGCACGAATATATTTCTTAAATAGGACCCAAAGCTGTAAACAAAATTCAAAACAATGCAATAGTATTAAAATAGTCAAATGTCAACTAATAACAAATAACATCAAACAGCCCTGGAATGACCTGTTAAAAAAGGTATAAGACAGAAGTTTTTAAAAGTCACAAAGAAAGGTACCTTCTTAGGCTGTTCCATAAACTCAGGCCTATTATAAAGGAAATCTGACACGACACAGTGGTAGAACTAATGACTTTGCAGAAAAGTGACTGTCAGTAGATAAATGTGATAGTACTAGGAGTTGTCACTTGTAGAAACTATCACCTGGAAGGCTCTGTTTGATATTAGAATAATTTCATTTCCTTTTATTGTAGAACTCGTCTCCCCGTGTTCCATGCCAATTTGTGCATGCTGAGATTTATAAGTGTTACTCAAAATCTGCATTCTCATGTTTCTTTTGCAGCATCTTTTAAAATGCCATGCTACTCTGGAGTGGGGCAGGGAAATATTGTTTTAATGATGGTAATTTAGATAGAGAATATTTGTAGCCTTTTCTTCTCTATTAGTAATTCTTAAGCTGTGGTTTGCTGCAGCATGCTTGAAGGTATTTTTTTAGGTGAAATCAACCAAAAATATAGAGGTAAATATCAAAAATCTTGAAAAATACCAGATTAAAATTAAACTCCTTGCTGTTTCAATACATCTGTTCTGAAAATACAAGTTGTGGGGGGATGTGGTCAGACTTGAGTTATAGAGCCTTGAATTATAGAGCCTTGAGTAACACATCTTACAGTAACTTTATTTCAGTTGTGTTAGAGTATTTGCCTAGTTTAAATTTGGAAGTATTTCAGATAGCTTCCTCTTTGGCAACTGCAATCCTTAGAAATTATGGAGATGCAAACCAGAACAATAAAATCACTTAAATCACTTAAATATGTAAAGGCGGGGATTTCTGAAAAGGTTATCTTTTAGAAGTGGGAGTGGGGTAGAAGGTAGACAACATAATTAGGGAAAACTGATATCTAAAGTTTTGAAGGTGAAGTGCAAGTATTTGAGATAATACTTTAATTTTTAAAGCATAATATACATTACTCAGGACAATCTTCAATATTATATGTAGTAAAGTAGTGTATGATTATCAACAACTGTGAAGTTAAGGTTATATTTATAATTTTATTGTATATGTTTTTACTTTGGTAGCTGCCTCAGTAAGCCTCCAGAAGAACAGCATAAACATTGTCTAACTAAAATAAGAGTTATATAAAGTAAAGGTAAAGGTTTTCCTTGCTTGAAAACCAGTCGAATCCGACTCTAGGGGGTGGTGCTCATCTCTGTTTCCAAGCCAAAGAGCCAGCACTGTCCGAAGATGTTTCCGTGGTCATGTGGCCAGCATAACTAGCATTCTGTCAACAGTCCAAGAACACTGTCTTCATAGGGAAAGTGAAAGATACCACCGTTTGCATGACTACATAAAGTAGCATGTATTAATATAGTTACAAAATACAACACATGTGGTTTGCAGTACTGTAGTTATAATAAAGATTTTATGTTTCAAAGATCTTCAGAAGTTACTAGGGTTTTTTCTCTCTCCAGCATTCAGATACTGTTTGATCTAGTGCTTGCTTTTAAAGAGCCTTTACTTATGTATCGTATGTTTTGCCCATATAGTAAATATTTTACTGGAAAGGAAGGTTGGTTTATTCATACTAGTTCTGTATTAGTATAAAAATGCACTACAAAATATGTCCATTATATGTCACATGTAAAATGTGCTTGTTCCTTTCAGACATATGTGAGCAGCAGTCTAGAACTTTATCAGTTGTATAACTAGCAATATTAAATTGGACCCATTCTGCTAATGGTGGATCCTTGGATCAATATAGGAATCCTTCTTGCCAGGCTCCGCAGCATATAATTTTAACATTATTTAATGATACTAACTCAGAATCATAGATTAACTCTCTGAAAGAATATGATTAATGTGAACACTATAGCTAAACAAACCTAAGTTCATAATTCAGAAACATAACCTAAAAAACATCAAATTCATCATGGACTTATTCCCACTTTGTATTGTAATTTTGGCAGGTGTGTGCAAGTTCAATAAAACTGTGTCAGTGGGCATCGGAATCTTTCAGACTGCACCTTAACAGCACTGCTACTTTAGTTCATCTCATCTTTGAATTCCTTTTCTAGGGATTTAGTAAACTTACCTTCTTTTCTTTATGCAGAACATAGCATAATTTGTGCTATATGAATATTTAAACATTTTCATTAAAAAATTTGCAATCAAATGTAGCATCTTTGTGGAACATGCAGAGTTTCTTACTAATGTTAATCATTTCTCATGTGTTTTATAGAATCTTATCAGTCTCTTACATTGCAGAAAAAATTTGCACAGTCTACAGATGAGTCACACTGACCCAGCATTGCATAGACAGAACTGCAGTCTTTGTACTGCAGTACAGCTGTAAAAGACTCTGTAGGATAAAATCCATTTGAGAGCAACAAAACTGAAAATGTTGTAGACGATAATAAAAGTTCTGTATATTTTTAGAATACAGTGTGGCAGCTGGTTTTTAAATGGCACCCTCTCTAATGTAGTGTTCTTGTTATGATTGTAAGGTAATCCTGACCCCCCCCCCCACTGTAGCTAGATACTGGTATACTTGGGTATAAAAATATTAAAGTTTGCAAAAAATCTGGCCCACATTTTGCTGAATTTTAAAGTAACATTGGAGATAACAACATAAAATATAATGCTCTATTCCAGCGGTGGCCAAACTTGCTTAACATAAGAGCCATGTAGAAAAAAGTCAGATGTTTGAGAGCCGCAAGACATGAACAAACACATTTTTTTTTGAAAAATATACAAATTTGCATATTGAATTAAAGAGAGCCAAGCCAGTCTGCTGGTGTGACGGGGTTTGGAGAACACATTTAACTTTAGATGTGGAGGGGAGAAAGACTGAAAGAAAGGTGGAAAGAAAAAAGTGGAAAGAAAGCAAATAGATGGGGGAGGTAGAGGTAGAAAGAAAACAACTTTAAATTTAAATGCATCCTCCAAGCCCCTCATGCCCCCACACTGGCTGGCTTGGATTGAAGAAGGGATTTAAATAGACAAATGCCTCCTCCAAGCTGGCTGGTGGGGGGGGGGGGCTTTGAGAATGCACTTAAAGTTAAAGTTGCTTTCTTTCTCTGTTTCCCCCCACCTCAAGCCTACCTAGGGAGGGAAACACTGGCTGGGGAAGGAAAGACCGATCAAGGAGGCATGCCTCCCCTTTGCTTCCCCAGCCGCCCTGCCGGGAGCCACATAATATGTGTAAAAGAGCTGCATGTGGCTCCCGAGCCACAGTTTGGCCACCCTTGCTCTATTCTAATAGGGTCAAATTCAAAATCTAGATGGGGAATCATGGCTTGGATCCAAAGAAGTAAAATAACAACTGTGTCTGTTCTAGAAATCTCCAAATGCAAAAGAAAGAGTTCATTGGAGATAACTAATGTAGCTCTTTCTGTGGTTCTACCTGTGTTTTCTGATTATCCAGTGGCTTGCTCTCTCTCTCTCTCTCAGAGGTTGCATGAGAAAGCTTCTCTAGAAAATGTTTCTATGTGCTGGAGAACACCAGTAGGTCTAGCATCCTTCAATGAATTAAAATTATGTTTAGGGATTAATTTCTCAGCTCTTACCCAAAATTGTCTTTTTATGTTCTGTATTTTTTCCTAAATGGGTACCAGAATAGAATAGGAGGAGTCTGACTAATATCTTCATAAATACTAATGTCTGGATCTGAGGGATGTAAATGAAGTGATTGATATTTGAACATTGTTTGTTACAGATCTTTATTTGTGTGTGAAAATGTATGTCTGATCTGTTTCTAATTTTAGGGACCCGTAGCAATGAGAGTTGCAAAATTGGCCATCAATCAAGGAATGGAAGTAAGGACATTCTTTTTGTGCTTACTATCTAAACATGCAACCTAGACATGATAGTAGCTCAACCTGGTAGGGATTGTGCCAAAACCTTATAAAGTGGCATGTAGGGAAACAGCACAACTCTGTTGCTTTACCTAAAATAGATTCTCCTTTTTTCTCTCCTGATGGGGGTTACTTTTGGTCTCAGAGCTTCACTGGGAAAAAAGGTACTGGGGAGGGAGAAGGACAGGTAGAATAATGCTTCAGCACCACTCTTCTGTCTGTTTATGCAGAGCTTTAGATTCCATCTTCATCACTATGTACTTAGATACTAGTGAATTTCTAAAGCATTATAACACCCTTGGTTTTAAGCAGTTTCTGCACATTATTGTAAGAACATAAGTAGAGGCTGCTAGATCAGATCAGTTGTCTGTATATCTGCATGTTATTTCACACAGATGCCAACTAGTTGCTCTAGAGGGCCACCAAATGGCTGAGACCTTCAATGATTTGCTTATCTCCATGAATTTGTTACTGTCAGGTGCCAAATAGTGAAGATATGATATACTTTTCAGTGTGACAATCTTAGTGGACTTCTTTAAATCCCCGTGTTATTCCTGCATTTCATATCTGTGTCTCTTGCTTAACTTTCCATTTTTTGGTGTGTACTACTAGAATCATGGGTTCACATTTTTTTTAAAAAAATTATGAAGTAACAATGAATTTCCACATATGTATAGTTTAGCAGATTGGGTGTTGTGTTTATGGTAAGACATGCACTGGCACAAGTTCAGCATAGTAAAATAATACTTTGATTATAGAATAGTACAATAATGGAAAATAATATCAAACCTCAATCCATATGCCTGGAAATCGAAGCTACTGTTGAAATACGGTGCAGATTTCTTTCTTGTGTTTACTATGGTTCTGTTTTTGAACTGATTTTCAGAATAATTGACACATGTAGAAGGTATTTTCACTATATTTCACATTTTTGTTTCATAGGTGGATATGTTAACAGGTTTAGCAATTGAAGAAGCTTGTTATGCTCAGGTATGTAATTCAAAGCAAAAAAGTCAAGACCGAGGAATGTTCACATGCTTGGTTCATAATTTGATAACATGTTTGCTAATGGAGGTCAGGAAATAACTCCTTGAGCATTACACACGATTTTAAAAATGACCAAGGGTTGTTTATATATTATGCTTCAGTTGTTGAATGACATGTTATACTGTATGGTATTTGTTCACTTAATGGGAAATATTCCTGTGACTGACTAAAATAGTTGGGTAATTGGCCTTCAGTTTGATTTCTATGCGTTCCTATGTGGAATGCATGTATACTGTCAAGTTTCAAATTCAGCATACAGATTTCATAATATGATCTTCTTTGTTTAGAATTTCAGAGCTACTTATGAACCGTCTCAAATAATGCAGTCCTCTACAGAGTTATTCCAGTGTTTTCATTCGGCCTAGACTGGAGTAACTCTGCATGGGATTACATAGTGTCTCTGACACTGGGCCTCAGTTTCTATAAACCTTATTACTACAAGTGCTATCTTCGCTTAAATGCCTACCTATTTATTTATAAAATACATATGCTACCTCTCCAAAGGCTTGCTTGAGGTGGTGTACAACTAACATAATAAAGCAACTAAAACAACAGCCATTAAAAACAAAGCCATAAAACAAACCAATGCTTTTAAAACAAGTCAGGATGTAACTGCAGCATACAGTACACACTTAGCAGCCTAAAATGATGTAGATAAAATGGCCAGAAGCAGACCATAAAATGCCCTTAGTTAAAAGCCTGGGGTAAAAAATTGTTTTAGTCTGACCCCTAAAAGAAAGTAAGGTAGGCATCAGGAGAGCCTCACTGGAAGGCAAGGTGGGATATACATTGAAATAAATAAATAAATAAATAAATTCCAAAGGTGGTACCGCAGAAAAATCCCAGTCTTTGGCTGCCTTCTGCCTCATCTCTGAAGATAGGATACAAAAAGCAGGGCTTCAGAAGAGGATCCTCAATGGTGGAGTGGATAACAAGGGTAGAGGCTGTCCTTCAAATACCCTGGCTGCAAGCCATTTAAGGCTTTAAAGATTAGGACTAGCACTTTAAATCGGAGGTGTTGAACTCATTTGTTATGAGGGCTGGATCTGACATAAATATCACTTTGTTGGGCTAGGCCACGTGTGCCATAAAATGTAACACAGGTACCAGAGATATAAACTATATAAAGACGATCTCAGATACTGAATGGCAATAGGAGGCTTGGTTGGATTAGGTGTTATATGCAGAGGGGTAGTAGGCGTAGAGATACCAGCATTGGTAATGAGATAGGAAACCTAGGTCTCATTTTGGTCCAGGAGGATTCAGTCCAAGAGGATGCAAAGAATAAATGGAGGTAAGTCTAGAGAAGTGAGTAGTGACTCACAAAAGCTCATACCCTACCACAAATTTTGTTAGTCTTTAAGGTGCTACCAGACTCTTAGTCTTTCTACTGTTATTAGAAACTACAGCATTCAGTAACCAGTGGGGGAACATTTTAACATTCCAGGACATTCAGTACCTGATGTAAGAGTAGCAGTTCTCCTACAAAGGAATTTCAAAGGGAGATTAGAAAGAAAGACTGCTGAATTGCAACTGATAGTGAAGCTCAAGACAATGCATCCTCCTGGACTGAATTGAGACCTAGATTTCTTATCTCGTTATCAATGCCTGCTATTGTTATTTGGCATCTGAAATCACTTCACTCTCCAAGATATATGGACAGATGGACTCACTCTAACTGTATGTGCAAAAGCAAATGATAGAAAAACTGTGCAGAATACTATGTACAGTAGAATGTGTGTATATATTTTATGTAATATTAAATATATGTCAATCACAAATTGTTTGAATGATTTTCTATGAACAGAAAATTGAACTAGGGAACACATAGAAACTCATACAATTTTAGAAATTGGACACTAATAATACACATCAAGATCATTCAGTGAAAGTCCATATATCATACACTGAAAGTCCATATATAGTAATCCTTATTGCAATAATTAATCTAATGCATATGGTTCCAAACGAAGATTCTAATAAATGATCTGGTGCAGACAGTTCCAAAAGAAGATTCTTACGAGTGTGCTAGCTACAATCCGTCTCACTTCTCTGTAGAGCTTTATCAAAATAGGACCAATATTCCAATTTGACCAATATGTTCTGTGTACAAAATCAGGAATAATATATCAGGAATTTCCAATGTAGTTCAGTACTTCACAAATGGCATAGCTCAGACTTTTCTCTCATCAGGGCAAAGCAGCCTGTTATTTGGGTGTGAGTGCATATTGTGACACTCTGTATAAACTGTCATCTAACCGGATTCGACTGGCTTTTGAGCAAGGGAACCTTTACCTTTACCTTTAACTTAGCTGTAAATATTGGGGATAACTTTTAAGTTATATCATCTGACAAAATAAGCTTTTACTCTTCTTTGGAAGTGCCGGCAAACTTGTTGTGTTGTTAAATTGAAGGTATCTTTGAGAGCCAAGGGTGGGGGGAATAATTTACCTCGGGAACCAGAAGCTGCAATGCACTGATCTACAATTTACCTCAGTACAGTGCATAATATACATACATGACTGCTCACATTTTGATCACTTATAATGCTACCATTCTTTAATAATTTCTGAGAGGGGGGAGGGCCCCATTAAGACGCCTGTGCATCATAATAATGAACATAACATCTGGAATTGCCATTGGTGTGCTAGTTCTTCAACTAGCATAAATCAGTAGTATATTAACCAGGGGTCAATTCATAGAAAAAGAGGTGCAGGAGCTCATTTGCATAACTTATTTGCATATGCTACAACCCCCTGACATCACCAGAAGTGTGTCAGAAGGCAACACTCACCGCTCAGGCTCCACACCAAAAATCTCAGAGAAAAGAAAGTACCATTCAGAGAAGGCCCTTTGCACATGCTCAAAGGTCCTACATGTAACACACACAGGTCTGAACTGAAATGTCTGCAACTTTCTCCTAGCCCTCTGTAGTCTTCCCCTGGGTTGAAGTCTGGTTGGTAAGCAGCTCAGGGCAGGGACCTGCATTTTTGGCTACTCTGTGCCATGCCCAGTGACTGCGCTACATAATAATAATTTCTACAAGATGTTACCTGGCAGCAATGCTCCCTTTAAGCTGTGGAGTCTTGTGAGCAAAAATCCTACTTTGTAAGCTACTGGCATTAAAGTTGTGAGGAAGCACTGCCCTAGTTGTTAAAAGAATAAAAAATGTCTTTAAAATGCACCTTTTCTCTGATATAAAGAAGCATACATGGCACACAGGACATATGCCTTTAAGTTATACATCTGACATCACTCTAGCTATTCACACTTATTAATTCATGCTTCAAATATGAACATGGAAGAACAACTACTTCAATAATCTAAGCAAATAATTCACTGAGGAGAGAACTGGGATTTCCCCCCCAATAAATACTTAAACATTAGTATACAATTCCAGCAATATAATACTCCATGCAAAATTTAAACAGATTACCATTTGATGATATAACTACTTTATAAAAGAACTCATTGAGTACTTTGCAAGTATAAAACTAGGAATTGTACAGTTGAACTAGATGGACATTGCAAAGCATCTGCTTTTCTAGCTTCATATTTTAAATTTGCAAAGACTATTTACGTTCTTTGTTTAAAAACTGACACTGCTACGCAAGCTTATTAATGTAGTGATGCTTGAAGTCTGTTACTATTTCTGCTTCCTAAATATAATGGTCACAATCTATTTCCCCCCCCCCTGCTTGCCCATTGTTGATGGGTAGGGTTTATTAGTTTTTTTAAAGAGTTATATAAAACAAAAAAGAGAGCCATACACTTCAAAAGTATCCAGCCATTGCCTTGTTCATAACCTCTTTAGATACATAATTCCCTTTTTCCCTTTGTTAATTATAGTCGACAACAGATGTCATTAAGTAAAATTCTGTTCCCAGTAAACAATTCATTTTTTCTATATCCTGCTATTACTATTATTAATCAATTTTATAACAATAAAAATATAAAAGAGCCTGGCCTCCCCGCCGCCGCTGCCTCCTCTCTGGCAGGCAGGCCAGGCGGGCAGGCAGGGCAGGCGGGCGGGGGGGAGGACAGGCCTCGCCGGCCGCTGCCACCGCCACCGAGCTCGGCAAAAGGGGGGGAGGACAGGCCTCTCCGCCTCGGAGCCGGGCGGGGGGGGACCGGCCTCGCCGCCGCCGCCTGGGGGAGAACGAGCGGGGGGGGGAGAGGAGACGGAGCTCTTCTCCCCCCCGCGAGTATCGCGGGTCCCCCTCTTGTTTCTTATATAAGCTAACAATGCTAAAAATATGAAAGAATATCTTAAAGGGACTAGATTGATAATGGTCACAATCTAACACATGGTCAAGCATGCTGGAGTTCCTTAAATCAACGGCTTAAGCATGCTTAAAATTGTCTTAGATTGTGCCTGGTGAATTTAGGATGATTGCTAACATAGTAACAGCAGCTTCTTTCCACTTTGTTATATAAGCTCAACTACATCACGAAGTACAATGTAACATGTTTGGGGACTTCTCAACCTCTAAAACAAAAATCACTGATTTGGTTCATTATGTGGCTCAGGAAGTGATTCATTCAATGCAAAGCGCGCTCGTGTGCGCACACACACACAAAGAACTTTGGTCCTCATGCTTTGGACATAAGCGCTACTCACTTTTAACTTGTTGCGCACCTGAGCCGCTCCATTCCTCGGGAAGCACCCTGAGCATTTTTCCCTTGCAGGATTCTTCTTGGCCGGGGGGATGTTCTGGAGCACGAAAGCTGGACGTTGTTGGTGCGCCCAACCTCCCCCCCCCCAAATCACCAGGGGCCAGGCAGAAAAGTGCTGTTATGCATCACTGATGACCGCGGGCTAATTAACAGCCGGTTGCCTTTTAACCATTTTCCTGCCGTTCAAGGCCCAGGCGGTGCGCGCGCCTCGCTGTCTCCAGATCAAAGAGTTAGCCAGGCTTTGCAAAACAACGGCGCTAAAATGGCAGTGGTGGGACGTGGCAGCTGCTTGTCTAGAAGTCACAGGTGTGAGGCTTCCCACTTAGCTGTCCTCCCCCCTTTTCATTCTCACTTGGGAAAGTGGCACTTGTTCGTGGGTGCCAAAAAAGACCCAGCGACCTGCGCGCACACTACTTTGCCTGCCTCTCTCAGAGGAATTCGTCTCCAGCTTCCTCTGAGTCTGGGACAAGTGACTTTCCCAGAGACAGCTGTTGGCGAATTCCTCTCAGAAGAATACTGTATTCCTCTGCAGGAAATGAGGCCTGACTATATATATCATTACACTGCCCCGGGCACTGGTGGCAAAGGAACTGGGAAGGCTTTCTTTTTGAACAAATGAGACACGTGTGCACAGATACACGCATGTTTCAGGGTTTCTCCTCACTTACCCAGGGCATCTTCTGGCGAGGGGCGGAGGAGGCGCTGGCTACTGCCAGGGAACCCGGCGGGGCAACAGGGGAGGAGAAGGAGGCTGCTGTCCGGCGGGAGGAGGAAGACAAGGTGGTGGCGAGCAGTGGCGGCAGCGGGGGCCAGTTGTTATTGCAAGAGCAAGCAGTGGAGTGGGAGGCGCAGGAGGCCGAGGCGGAGCTCGCGACAGTGCTCCGCTGGGTCGGCCAGCAGGCAGGAAAGGCGCGGGGGGGCTGCTGGGAGCAGGGGGCAGGGCTTGTTGCATGACCCAGCCCCCTGGCCTCCTTACTGCAGGAGCGGCGCTCCGGTGCGCTCCTGCAGGAAATGAGGCCTGATATTAACTATAAAGCAACATAATTGATTTATATCAGCTGCAATTTTTGTTAATTTTTGTATGTATTTTATGGATGGAACATAGCATCACCAACCTATAGAATCGTTTGCATAAATGTGTGCCTTACTTGTAATGTTAATGATGAAAATAACTTTTTTCTTTGTAGACTATTCCAACAAAAGACAGAATCGAAGGTCTGCTTGCTTTTAAAGAAAAAAGACCCCCTCGCTACAAAGGAGAATAGGCAAAAAAGAGGACTTTAAAATGTGAATGAAATAAACATACTACTGGAAGGTCTTTTTAGTTCTCCTTTGCCTCAGAGCCTGGGATATCCATTAAAGGAAAAACAACCACATACTTTGAAATCTATAATGTAATCAAATGTATATTCAGTCTTAATCTTTATGGTTTAGAAGGCTTCTCTGTGCTTGGAAAGTCATTGGGCCATATACCATTTATATTCCATGCGTATGAAATGCATTCTATGTAATTAAATACACAAAATATAGACAAAGCTATAACATCAAAATTGTACATACTATTGAACAGAACAATTTAATTCTGCATACTAAAACTGAAAATAATTGCACAGAGTTTTTAAATGAATATGTAGATCGAAAAGATCATATTAAACTTATACATTTCTTAATAAATATATCTAAATTGAGGTGAGAAAAAGTAACCACATGGTTATATGTTTTATATATAGTATGTTGGTACACAGAAACTATTCGGTTATGGTGCTGCATCATTGTATGGTACAAGAGTGGTTATCTTAGATTTTCACACAGAGCTATTTGAGGTCAGTATGGTATTAAGTCAAGAAAGGGGACTTTCACATATATGAAAGCATTTCAAAGCCATTCACACTATTTGTGTGCATCTGAGAATACTGTAAAATGAGAAGGCATTTAGAACAATTTTAAATCATTGTACCTAATCTAAGTTGGCCTACATTTGCATTGTAGGTTTAGGAGATGAAAGAAGTAAGAGGGCCAACATTTGAAGCTCTAATGCAGTGGGTACTTGGATGCTAAAAGGTAAAATGTTACAAGCTGTGATGGGTTCTGCTTTTCCAGTATTGTTTTTAACAGTTCACAGACATGGAGGTGTTTCCACACAGGGACAGTCATCTGTGGGTTCTCCAGTAGCGCTCTACCATAGCTAAGTTTCACAATAGACCCAGCAAGCCCTGCTGGCATTCTGTAATATCTTTGTACATTCAGTTCCCCAGACCAGAGAAATTTAACCAAAGATGTGATATCTCTCCTGATCTTATATTCCTGTTCGACTAACCCTTCTCTCAGCCTAACCTCTGATAAGGATCCCACGGTCAGATATTAACCCTTCCCAGTAAACAACTGCTGTTGGCCGTTTGGAACCTGTGTTGCTGGAGTATATTTCTTTGTTCTGCCTATTACAGGCAGCTATATTGGAATATGTACATTTTTCAAAATGGCGTCACTGTTGAGATAGACTGATTGTAAAAGCTATATTCCTGCAAATACGGATCTTCTCACTGCAACTTGTAGCATTTTTGTCTCATATACCAATCTGTAGATCTAATAGCATTGTATAACCCCAGAGTGCGTGCAGATTTTAAAGAATCTTCAGAATGGAAGATTTGTATTCACCGTGAAGCTTCCTTCTCGGTGGTCCAGAGTGGGGCAGTCCTTGACTCCTTACTCATGGGAAAGCCTCTCCTCTTCCGTAAACAGGGCCGGCAAAACTTTGATCCCTTGGAGGGGGGGCTTATCCTCTGATCCCCAGTCATACCGAAATCCAACCTCTTTCAACATCTGTCAATAAAAACTACACCAGACTTCTACCCCTCCCTCCTGGTACCCAGTAACAATAACACTACCAAAGGAGAAAGAACATAACTTTATTCAACATGTTTTGCATACAGAACCAAGTGCAACACGTAAGTCAGTATCAGGCAAACACGCCTATAACCAGGCTGTATCACTGTACCCTCTCCAGTCCTTAGACCTTATGATAATCGAAAATCGCCCCCTCCAAACGAGGGTGGGTAGGACTGCCCCACTCTGGACCACCGAGAAGGAAACTTCACGGTAAGTGAATACAAATCTTCCATTCTCTGGTGATCCATGAGTGGGGCAGTCCTTGACTCCTTACTCATGGGAAAGCCTCTCCTCTTCCGTAAACAGGGCCGGCAAAACTTTGATCCCTTGGAGGGGGGGCTTATCCTCTGATCCCCAGTCATACCGAAATCCAACCTCTTTCAACATCTGTCAATAAAAACTACACCAGACTTCTACCCCTCCCTCCTGGTACCCAGTAACAATAACACTACCAAAGGAGAAAGAACATAACTTTATTCAACATGTTTTGCATACAGAACCAAGTGCAACACGTAAGTCAGTATCAGGCAAACACGCCTATAACCAGGCTGTATCACTGTACCCTCTCCAGTCCTTAGACCCTATGAGAATCGAAAATCGCCCCTTCCAAACGAGGGTGGGTAGAACTGCCCCACTCTGGACCACCAAGAAGGAAGCTTCACGGTAAGTGAATACAAATCTTCCATTCTCCGGTGGTCCAGGAGTGGGGCAGTCCTTGACTCCTTACTCTGGGACGTAAAAGAGCAGTACATTCCCTGGGCGGGTTCAGCAATACAGAATGAAGGCAACACTATGTCCTCTGAGCGATGGAAACTAAAATTAATCTTAGGGATAAACGCCGGATCTAACCTAAGTACCACCCTGTCATTGTGGAAAATATATAGATCCTTATGGATGGAAAGCGCCCTCAACTCGGAGACCCTACGGGCCAATGTGATCCCCACTAGGAAGACCGTTTTCAGTGTAATCTCCTTCATAGAACAGGAGGACATTGGTTCAAAAGGTCCCTTAGCAAGGGCTTGAAGCACCGTATTCAATTTCCATGGACCTGAGGCGGATTAATGAGGGACGCTCCCCTAAGAAAACGCTTCACATGCTGATGGTGGGAGAAAGACCTAACCTTCTTCGTCCCCCTTATAGCTGAAAGCGCTGCCACCTGGCGTTTTAAGGTACTCGTACTGAGTCCCCCTGTCAGCCCCTGCTGCAGGAAAGCTAACACCTCCCCCACCTGGGCCTGTAATGGGTCCAACCCTCGTTCCCCACACCATGTAGAGAACATTTGCCATGTCCAATTATAAATCCTATTAGTGGACACTTTCCTGGAGGCCAATAATGTCGATACCACCTGAGTTTCATAACCCAGGGTTTCTAATTGCCTCCTCTCAATCTCCATGCTGTCAGCTGTAGCATATCTGGGCGTGGATGGACCATCACACCCTGAGTCAACAGGTCCCTCCTGACAGGCAGACGCCACGGATCCCGGACGGATAACCTCAACAAGTCTTGAAACCACGCCCTTCTTGGCCAGAAGGGCGCTATCAGAATTACATCCGCCTGTTGATCTATCACACATTGTACCACCCTGGGAATGAGGGGCAGAGGTGGAAAAGCATATAGTAGTGTCTTTGGCCACACCCAGTTCAGGGCGTCCATCCCCAAAGCCCCTTCCATGGGTGATTTTGTCACAAACAGTGGGACTTGATTGTTGTGAATTGACGCAAAGAGATCCACTTTCGCCGTCCCGAACTTGTTGCTGACTCTTTGGAAAACCTCTCTGTTTAACATCCATTCTGCTTGGTCTACAGTCTGTCTGCTTAACCAGTCTGCAACCACGTTGTCCTTTCCTGCTATGAGGACTGCTTTTAGGGACCGCACATGAACCTCTGCCCACTGCATTATCTGTACCACCTCTAGGTGTAACCTGCGGAATCTTGTGCCTCCCTGCCTGTTTATATAGGCCTTCGCCGTCGTGTTGTCCGTTCTTATCAAAACATGACAGTTCCACAGGTGATCCTGAAGGCACGCAAGAGCTAGTTTTACAGCTCTGAGTTCCAAAAAAGTTGATGCTCCTGGTCTGTTCTATTTCTGACCAAGTGTCCTGAAACATGAGTCCTTGGGCATGAGCTCCCCAACCAAACAGACTCGTGTCTGTTGTTATCACCGTCCTCTGAGGTTCCCGAAGTGGCATCCCTTCTAAAAATTAAGTTGGGTTCACCCACCACAATAGTTCTGACTTCACTTCCTGTGGTAATTCCACCTTCTTTACTATTTTGAATGCTATGTCCTTCTGATAGCGTAGTAGAAAACGCTGTAACGGTCTTGTGTGTACTCTGGCCCATGGAAGCAGGTCCTGACAGGACACCATCATCCCCTGGAGACACGCCAGAGTCATCACCTCCACCATCTGAGCTTCCAGTACCTGGTTCAACAGTATTAGGAGTCTTTCCAGCCTCTCTTGGAAGATGAAGACTTTGTCCATGATCGTATTGATCTGAACACCCAGGTGGGTAAGTATCTGAATTGGTTCCAGAATGCTTTTTTCCTTGTTGATGATAAAACCGTGCATCTGTAAGACACGTATTGTTAAATCTAGATGTTGGCTCATTTGATGACTGGTTTCTGCCTTGATCAAGACATCGTCCAGTTATGGAAACAGTGTCACAACTTATATCCTCAAATAAGCAACCAGAGCCACCAGTACCTTTGTGAAGACCCTGGGGGATGATTTGAGTCCAGAAGGGAGGGCTCCGTACTGGAAGTGTTTCCCGTGGTACGCAAACCTCAAAAACTTCCTGTGGGCTACTCTTATTGGTATGTGGAGGTAAGCCTCTGCCAGATCTATGGACGCCATAAAATCCCCCTTCTGTATGGCTGCTAGGATGGATCGCAATGTCTCCATTTTGAACTTTCGTGTCCATATATGTCTGTTGAGCCATTTTAAGTCCAAAATGGCTCTGGTGTCCCCATTCTTTTTTTGGAACCGTAAAGAAAATTGAATAAACTTCTTGCCGCTTCTCTGTCTCTGGTACTCCCTCTATAGCTCCAATCGTCAGAAGATGTTGGATAGCCTGGGTCATTAATTTGTGTTTTTCTAAAATCTTTTTCTTTGGGATCTCCAGAAAGCGATGTTTGGGACTTTTCTCGAATTCTATCGCATAACCTAAAGTCACTGTCTCCAGGACCCATTTGTCTGTAATTGTCTGATGCAATTGCTGTGAAAAGCGTTGCAACCTGGCACCCACTCCCGTTGACTTCTTGCCATAGTCATGTTGATGGTTTCTTGGGTCCTTTTGTTCCCTGTCCAAGTTTTCCTGTGAAGTTATTTGGACCGCTGTTTCTTGGTTTACTATTCCACTTTCCTCTGAAATTCTTACTGGGCTGTTTTCTATCATCTCTGCGGAAGTCTCGAAAGGACTGAGGTCTCTTTTTATATTTCAAGGGCTTCTTCTTAGAAGGTAGTACCCATTTCTTGTCTTTATCTTCGATTAAATACCGATCCAGGCCCACTCCAAAGAGGTTGACCCCTTTAAAAGGTACCGCTGCAACCTTTGACCTTGCCGCCGGGTCAGCGTCCCAGTGTCTCAGCCAGGTATTTCTCCTGGCAGTCACGCTGCATGCCATAGCCCACGCTGAGAGTTGCATTGCATCCAAGGATGCGTCTGCAGCAAAAGCTGTGGCCAGAGCTATTTTCTTAAGATCATCCTTAAGGCTTTTTGGAAGA